GATCACCCCCAATGCCCCTCCCCACCAGCCTGATCACCCACAACTGCCGTCCCATCCTGGCCTGATCACCCACAACTACCCTCCCCTCTTGGCCTCTAACCGCCTCTACCTCAGCCCCGCCACCATGGCTTTGTCCAGAAGAATGTTCGGAAGGTCTCCTGGAAGGTTTCCCAGTCTAATTAGCATATTACCATTTTATTAGTATAGAGGCCTGGTGCACGGGTGAGGGCCGGCTGGTTTGCCCTGAAGGGTGTCCCGAATCAGGGTGGGGGTTCCCTTGGGGGGCATGGGAGCCTGGGAGAGGGGCCTGTGGTGGTTTGCAGGCCGGCCATGCCCCCATGGGGTGAGGGTTCCTGCTGGGAGGGCGGGGCGTGAACAGCCTGGGTAAGAGGCTGAGGTCCATTTTCAGGCTGGCCACAGCCCCTTCAGGGTGGGGGTTCCTGCTGGGAGGGCGGGGCGTGAACAGCCTGGGTAAGAGGCTGAGGTCCATTTTCAGGCTGGCCACGCCCCCAGGGAACCCAAGCTCCCAGCCCCTCCTTTTTCTTTTTTCCAGCCCCTCCTTGAGCAGAGGCCAGGGCCAGCTGGAAGCCTGGGTCGCCCCCAACCCAGGCCCCCAGCCCCTCCTTTTTTTTCCAGCCCCTCCTTGAGCGGAGGCCAGGGCAGTCTGGAAGTCTGGGTCGCCCCCAACCCAGGCTCCCAGCCACTCCTTCAGCGGCGGCCAGGGAGGCGGGAACCTTGGCTTCCTCCGTCACTGGGGACAACCCAAGCCTCCTGCTTGCTCCAGCTCCATGGCCATCGCCAACTTAGTTGGGTTAATTTGCATACTCACCCTTATTGGCTGGTGGGCATAGCGGAGTGACAACCAATTTGCATGTTTCTCTTTTATTAGTGTAGATTTTTAAGAAAATTTATTCATACAACATATTGATTTACAACCTTTTTTCCCCCCACTTAGCCATATATCATGAATATCTTTCCGTGCTATACCAATTTCATTTTATTCAACCTGCTCCATTGTGAGGGCATCATAATTTCTTTCACTCTCCCCTATGAATGAGCAGGTAGGTTGTTTCCACTTCTTGGCAGTTCAAAGTTGTCATGAACATCCTTGACCTTATATCTTTGAATCCTCATTAACTTTTTCTAGTTTAAAAACCTAAAAGTGAAATTGTTAAGTCCAAAGATACAGTTTGCATCTAACAAACATTGTCAGATTAGAAGGGAAATTTTAAATTGACCTTGAGGATCAGGAGAAAGAGGAGAATGGGTTTTCAGACTCAGTGCATGAAAAAGAAGGAGTAAGCAGCAAGCTGATTTCTGTGACCTACAATTTAGGACAGAGGCAGATGAGGCCAAAATGTAGCTTGGAAGCTGACTGTGTTTGGAAGACCCAGCCACAGGTCCTCAATGCATCTGTTTCCATCTCTGTATTTTTTCCTCAAACTCATACCCATTCTATGGACAATGTGTGAGACTGCTGCCCTGTGTGATGTAGTTCTCCATTCATGAGGAGGAGCCCACGCCAATCCCTCTACCTAATCCTGAACCACCATTTCCAGAGGACTGGCCCTTGGCCATCCAGTCTACACCAGAAGGCGAGGGCTTGACTTCAGTTCCAACACTCACTTCCAGTGTGACCTTAGGCAAACCATCTCCCTCCTCTGTGCCTTGACTGATAGGTGGGATAATGGTAGCACCACACTCCACAGTGTTGCCATGAGGATGAAGTGAGGTCGCACTTATAAAGCCTTCAGAAGAGGGCCTGGTGCCTGCAAGAGCTCCGGGATTTTGGTTCATGTGACTGTTATTATTCTGTGGCAGGCCATCCTAGGCCTCTCTCCTTTTTCAGACAGTGATTCAACACCTTTCATTGTGAGGTGAAGGGGAGAGCATGGGCTTCAGAATCCAGTGGCCTCAAATGTAAAATATACATAATACTCTTTACCTTCAGGGTTGTTGTGGAATGCAAGATGAGGTGTGTGAAGGCCATTGCACTCAATAGCTATTAGCTGTTAATATTGCTATTGCCAATGTTATCGGGAGTGTACCTTTGCCAATACACCTGCACCCATGTCTTCAAAGGGCATTAATTCCCTGAGCCTCTCTGGGGTGGTAGACAGAACCAAAGTCTGTATATGATGATGTTGATCAAGCAACACAGGCAGCAGTGCTTCAGATGGACAGGAGCAGCCTGGAAATCCAGGAGTCTGTGATGGGAACAGAAGTGGAGGTAGAGGAGGTATAATGATTACTTTCTATGTGTTGACTTGACTGGGCTAAGGGATACCCAGATGGCTGGTAAAACATTATTTCTGTGTGTGTGTGTGTGTGTGTGTGTGTGTGTGTGTGTGTGTGGGGTGTTTCTGGAAGAGATTGGCGTTTTGAATTGCTAGATTGAGTGAAGATCACCTTCTCCAATGCAGGTGGGCATCACCCAATCTGAGAGCTTGACTACAACAAAAAAGGCCGAGAAAGAGTGGATTTGCTCCCTCTGCGTGTGCTGAGACATCTTCTCCTGCTTGCCTTCAGACATTGGACATTGGCTCTCCTGGATCCTTAGGCCTTTGGACTCAGATCAGGGCTCTTGGGCCTTTGGACTTGGACTCATACCCCCACTTTCCTGGTCCTCCAGCCTGCAGAGGCCAGATCATAGGACTCCTCAGCCTCCATACTCTCCTGAGCCAATTCCTATAATAAATATCCTCTTGACCTTTCCATATCTATATATCTATATTATTTTGATTCTGTTCTCTGGAGAACCTAATACTAAAGATGGAGGCAATAGAAACAGAGTTAACAGAGACAGGTGGAAGCTTACCTAGGCCTCTCCCCTATGTTTGGGGCCTGTGTAAAGGGTTTTCCCTTAAATTTGAAGGTAGAGAAGATGTTGAGAGAGAAAGGAATGCCCTCAAATGCAGAGGATGTGAGACAAATGTGTGTGGAGAACAGCAGATTGTGGAGCCTGAGCCCTGGGCTATGCAAGGGCTTTCCAAAGAATATGTGGGCATGAAAGAGTTAGAGGGAATTAAGTTCCATGTCTCCATTTCCATGAAAATTCTGTCCTAGAATGAATCTGCCTGAGAACATGTCTGTGGCCAAGTGTTTTGGAGATTTTCCTTGCTTACCTCCCTTTCACAATAATCTATCTCTCATTATTTTGTTGTTGCTGTTGTTGTTGTTGTTGTTGTTGTTGTTGTTGTTGTTGTTGTTGTTGTTGTTGTTGTTGTTGTTGTTGTTGTTGTTGTTGTTGTTGTTGTTGTTGTTGTTGTTGTTGTTGTTGTTGTTGTTGTTGTTGTTGTTGTTGTTAACCATTCCCTAAGTGCATATGTTTTCTATATTGGGGCACAATTTTACCCATAGGGGACTCTTACATGACTCCTACTGGGAGAGCAAGGGAAGAATCCTCTCTGTAAATGTCAAGAAACCAGAATAGGCTCTTGGACATCCTGTGTGGTGAAAGACAGATCAGGGCTTTTGTTACACTTTGTCTGATCAGTGTATCTGAAGGGAACTCAACATGTGATGGTCTGTATTTTGTAATCGATGGGAAGTTGTCAAAAATGATTTTTAAATGAATTGCTTAGACAACATTGTGCCTTGAGAAAAATTGCCCTATATTCAGAAAAATCTCATTTTTTGGAGAGGCAATTTCAGTAGCTAAATATTTGAAAGTAGTTAAATATTTATAGATTCACAACATTAAAAATTTAGGTTACCTCTGATAGACATATGTTATATATCATCAGTCATAGCCTCACAGATTCAGGTATCGCTCGTACCTGCTTTTTTAGTTATTCTTTAAGCCCTTTCAAGTCATCTAGTTGCTCCTATTAATGACAAGGCTTGGCTCCCAATGCTCCATGCCTAGAGCTGGAATTAGTCTAGAACTATAACCTTCCCTGTAGCTTGGTCCTTTGCCTACCCCGCTCCCTGCTTCCACCATCATCACTAGCCATCACCAACCCCAGCCTGAGTTCTCTGCTACTTGTTTCTCCTGAAGTTCCTACTCTCTTCTCCACCTGAAAAGGGAAGGAACAGGCTGCCCTTGTAGGTCTCCTTCCACTGCAGAAGCCAGAGGACACCATTAGGGGCTCTGGAGATTGTCTTATAAACAGTTTGAGTCCAAAGTAGTAGGACTTACAGTTTGGGTCAAAAGTAGTAGGACAGCCCTGGCCAGATTTTCCTCAGTGGTTAGAGCATCATCCAGTGGACCAAAGGGTCAAGGATTTGATACCCGGTCAAGATCACATACCTTGGTTACAGGTTAAATCCCTGGCACCAGTCAGGAAGTGAGCAGGAAGCAACCAATCGATGTGTCTCTCTCACATCAATGTTTCTCTCTCTGTCTCTCTCCCCCTCCTCCCTCCCTTCCACTCTGTCTAAAAATCAATGGAAAAAATAATCCTCGGGTGAGGATTTAAAAAAAAAAGTAGTAGGACTGAGATTGTCATCCACTTAATCACATTATTTAATCATATATGACCCAAATAAGTCCTCCCACATGCCTTCATCCTCACAACTCATCTTCCCACCCTGATATTAAAGACAACTCCTAGAGAGAAACAAAATGAGATGCAAATAAGGTCTGCACAGCACACAGAGCTGTAGAGTCCAGTCCCTGGGGTCCTGGAAACTACCCTGGTTTCTTCATCTTCCAATTTGCAAATTCATGTCTTTTCAATAATCTTTTTTTTTAACTAAGCTGCTTTGAGTTGGGTTTCTGCTCCTATGTGGCGCCCTATAATAATCAATGAATGTGTATGCAATGTATAAACTTAGATTCCTTTATAATCACACTGGTAGAACATCTACGGAGCTTCAGTTTATTTTTCCCCACAAAATAATAAGGCCGCTCTGATGTGTACTTCCTGCCAGGAATACACAGATGGGTAAGGTGCTCATTCACCAGAATCAGGAGACCTTTTTATTGAGTGCCTGTGTAAGTCACAGCCCACATGAGCTTGCAGTCCAAAGAAGGTACTCACAGCTAATTATGACAACTGTCATAAGAGAGGAAAAAAATATTTGCCATGATGGTTCAGGATGAGGACAATGATATCCCATTCTGGGGACAGGAAGAGCTTTACGAAGGAGGAACCATCTTAGATCCTGAAGGATAGCCAGGGTCCCAGCAGGTGAATATCATGGAAAGGAGAATTCCAGCTGGAGGACTAGGACAAGGGAAAACAGAAAAGCAGTAGAGCCCAGTTGTTGTTGCTCAGTGATTGAGCATCAACTTATGAACCAGGAGGTCATTGTTCCATTCGAGGTAGGGGCACATGCCAGGGTTGTTGGCTAGATCCCCAGTTAGGGGGCATACAGGAGGCAGCCAATCAATGATTCTCTCTCATCATTGATGTTTCTATCTCTCTCTCCCTCTCCCTTCCTCTCTGACATCAATAAAAAATCATATTTTTTAAAAAGAAAGAAAGAAAAGCAGGAGAGTGTGGGCAAGCTCGAATGTTCAGTGTGGGGTGTGTACATGTGAGCTGTGGAAGAAAATTCAGGAAGAAGGTGCAGCCACACAGTGTGGGGACCTGCCTTGCAGGAGGCCAAGAGTGTTCTCTTAATCTAATAGACAACAGGAAGAAGTCACAAAATTTTTCTGAGCCAAATAACATGGTCTGAGCTATACTTTAAGAAGATTAATCCAGCAGTATTACGTGGGATGATTGTAAAGACAGAGAGAATGGGGCAGAGAAGCCAGTAAGAGAGCAGACACAATCATCTTAGGCAGGAGATAGTGAGGGATTGGACTCAGATGGTAAAGATGGGAAGGAGAGAATTGATGGCTGGGAGAGATACTGCAGCGGTAGAAAGCTGACAGGATTTGACAACTCTAAATATAAAATCCTTCACAACAGTGTATATCATTCTTATTTGGTGTTACTGGAAGTAGCCAAGATTTGCAGACCATCTGTCATTGATGCTAAGAAGTCAGATTTTATCCCCATTTAAAGCAGATTGGCAGAAACCCCAGGGACCCCATACTCACAGGATAGTGTAGTTGAGGAATGTCATAGAGCCAGGCATTGCTGGGGCCAGTCACCCACTTAGTGCAATGCCTGAGACAACATCAAGCTCCTATACACCCCACATCTCCCTAGTGCAGTGGTCGGCAAACTGCGGCTCGCGAGCCACATGCGGCTCTTTGGCCCCTTGAGTGTGGCTCTTCCTAAGCCTTAGGAGTACCCTAATTAAGTTAATAACAATGTACCTACCTATATAGTTTAAGTTTAAAAAATTTGGCTCTCAAAAGAAATTTCAATCGTTGTACTGTTGATATTTGGCTCTGTTGACTAATGAGTTTGCTGACCACTGCCCTAGTGGAACACCTCAGCAGGTACCTGAACTACCACTTTGTTCATGAGTTGCCCAGGAGTCCAGTAGGGCTGCACTGAACTCGGGGACAAACCTTCAGAGCTCCCGCTGGGAGGGCAAGGACAGAAGATCAGCATCAGAGGACAGGAAGCGGGGCTACCTGCTTCTCACCTGCACCCTCAGCCCCAGCATGGAGCTTGGCATGTAAATGCACAGTAAATGGATGAAGGAACGAGTCAATACAGAATGAATTACAGGGTTTCCAAAGTGTCCAAGCATTCATCCTACTGAGGCCCCAGCTTCTGCCATCCCGCTCCCTCGCAGTTCCTCTTCTGAGGCAGAAAAGCTGAGCTCTCCTGGCTTCGGCCACAGCCTGAGTGGTGGGGGGCGGGGGGGTGCGGGAGAGAATGACCCCACCTCTGAGGAGAGGAGAAGCAGGGGCAGGTAAGGGTGGGAGAGGAGGGCCTTGCAGAGACATGAATCCAACGCTACTCCACCCCCAACAACTTGGAAGCCACAACGCTTGCTCTCTGAAGAGGAGACAGAAAAACTGACTTCATTAAATAATCATTTTTAATTTAAGTCAGTAAAGCACTTGGGAATATCAACAGTGTAACAACTCTCACAAATAAATAACATTCAAGGCACCCACCACAGTGACTTCTAATGTCTCAACACTTGTTTCCCTCCTTATCATCTCTCTATTGCTTCAAGCCATGATTTGATGAATTTCTGTGCCAGAAAAAAAAATCTTATTAAAACTATGTTGTCAAATTGTTGTAAATTTACTTTACCTTACTTTTAGCTCTTAATATTCCCTTCCCAGCCCTAAGCTTGGAAACAACACTTGCCTCGGGTCCTTCTAGTTTTTTGTTTTGTTTTGTTTTGTGCAAACAGAAGTGTTTTATATAATATTGGGGTCTACAAAGTTCCAGAAGAGAGAAATCTCTTATTGTTCCCCTCTCCTCTGACTATATGTGTGAGACATTCTGAGATTGAGAAATTAAAGCAATCAGAATTCTGCCTGCCCCCCCACCACAGACACACACACACACACACACACACACACACACACACACACACACACACAAAAGCTTTGACCTCTATTGGGTTGTGGCCATGTCAGTGATCTGGGTCCTGCAGATGGGTTAAATGGAAGAACTTCAGGAACTTCTAATGTGAT